GGCTGCGGTGCGACGGGACCCTGCGGTGCGAGCCTCAGGTACCTCTTCTCGCGGGAGGCCCCGCAGCCTCACTCTTCACCCTCCTCTCCACTGACGGTGAGGAGAGAGAGGCGGAGTCGGTGCTGTCCCGGCTGTTCGCATTCCCCGGTTCCCGCTCTGCCAGGTTCTGCGCGGGAAGGGCGTGATTCTTGCCTGTGGAAACCTGGGGATAGGGTTATTTCTGATGCCCGCCCTCCTAGAGGTGGGAAGTGGGGTCGTCAGTGATCGCCGCCGCCTTCGCCAGGCCGCCTGCCGCGCGAGGCTGAGAATGAATGTTTACTTCCCGGGCTGCGTCACTTTCCCTTGTCAGGGCCCCCACCTGTCGGAAGAGGGGTCCCTCCGATTACCGCCGAGACCCGTTCTGGTGCTGGCGACCTGGCCCCCCTGCGGAGGTGCAGGTCTTCTCACCACCGTGTTAGCGACGTGTTGGAGCATCTGGGAGTGGTCGGTAGGGGGAAGGACCCCTGGACCAGGATAGGGACGGGTTTAAATTGCTGCTGGGTTCTGACCAGCTGCGTTTCCTGATCCGTAATTTCCCCATCCGCAAAATGAGGGGGTAGATCATGTACTGTTTTGCAAAGTCGCAACTGACCAACTATTATTGTCCACATGGTTCACGGACCTTTTTAACTCCTCTGTAGTCTTCCCCGCTTGCTCTCCCGTCCCCAGGACTCTGGAGGGGAGATCTGGAGGTGTGGGAGATAACCTGTCTCAAGGAGATCTCACTGGCTCGTGTGGCTGTTGATTTTCGTGTTGTTGTTGTTTTGTTTGTTTCTGTGGTGTGTGTGTGTGTGTGTGTGTGTATGTGTTTGCCGATTGGCACCTGACTTGCCAGGGATATTCCAGAATGTGTGCTCATAAAAATACCTGCCAGCAGTGCTGCAGAAATTGGAAAACACTTTTTATTGGATACTACTATTTTGGGGGAACTTAGTCCATGAGTTTGCCCAAGGCACTTAGATGACATCTTTCAAATTCAAGAATCTAGCTGGAGCCTTAAGCAAATAAGATCCTTTTGAGACTTCACTGCAACAATTTAAAATGGAAATCTAATATACCATAATTAAAGGATAGTCTATCTCAGTGTTTACTTAGCAATACTTATATATTTGTCTTTTAATGTTGCTATCACCAAAACAACTTTAAAGAATTTCCTTAATCGATACAGGGTGTATGTCAATTGGTCTATAAAAAAGTTGTGGTTCTATTGATGCAAATCAATAAAATCTATTTTATATTTTTTCCAAAGACTTAATGTCTTTTGCATCTTAGTGTTGCTTTAGAAAACAAGTCAATGTGCATTATATAGGGTAGGGTAGGCATGAATATAGTCTTTAATAGCAACCCTTAAAGTACCAGATGTTAATATTGTTCTGTTACAGTTAAAAGACCATTCTTACCTTCCAACAGCAAACAAAACATGGAGACAAGCAGGAAGATAATTTAAAACAGCTTTTTGGATATATTTTGAGTCACTTAAAATTTATTATGTAATACTACAACAACATATAGAGAAATGTAAATATGGCCAGTATGTATTCAGTACTTTCCAGAGAGATTAAATGAACTCATTCAGCTTAAGAAATGGACCTTTACCACTTAGTAGTTTGTACTTCCTCAATTAAGTCCTTCTCCCTACCAGCCAGAAAGCAACACCATCTGGAAAACACTAAGCTTTTCTATATCTTTTTATTTACACATGCAGACATTCCTAAATGGAATGTTGTTTAGTTTTTGTCAATTTTGACCTTTATAAAATTGGGATCATTCCATATATATCTTCTGAGTTTCTTTTGCTTGTTTTTGAGATTAAGTCATTCTGATACATGTAGGTGGAGTTCATTTTTTTAAATTATTTTTTGCTGTCTTGACTGACGTTTTGATTATTTGAAGTTCATTTCTATTGGTACAGGGCTTCTGTGAATATTTTGGTACATACTTGTTGGTGCACTTGTGCAAAAGTATATCAGTAGAATTGTTGGAACATAGGGTGTGCATCTTCAGCTTTACTATAAAACCAAAATTTTCCCCAACTAGTTTATTCTCTTATCAGGAGAGTAGAAGAGTTCCATTTGATCCACATTTTTTTGGCAATAAAGTCCCCCCTGTCCCCCTAAACTTATGGATATGAGATGGTTTCCTGTTGTGGTTGTAATTGGCTTTCTCTGATTACTAATAAGGTTTACAGCTTTTCAAATATTTATTAGCTATTTGTGTTTACCTTTTTTTTTGTTTGAGGATTTTTCTTACTGATTTTTGAGAGCTTTTGTATTAGTGTGGATAATACTGTTACATTTCTCAATTTAGGCCTTTCAATTTTTTTCATTCTTTCTGACTTTCTTTCCTTTTTTTCCCCTTTCATTAGAAAGAGCTCCTACTTTTAATATAGTTAAAATGTTTTTCCCTGAAGTTTAAAATAGTTGAAAAGTCAATTTAAAAAATCTAATTTAAGAATCATTTCTTAAAACAAGTTCTATATTTTTTAAAGATTTGAAATAGTTTTAGCTTTCATATTCAAAACTACTCCATCATTTAGAATTGAGTTTTCATGTATGTTGTCAGATATCCAATTTGTTTTCATTTCAATTGTCCCAGCATCATTTTTGACTGTGACCTTTTGCCATTGACCTCTCACTCTCTTCAACACTTGTGGCCTTGTAACTTTGATGTCTTGATAGAAAGTTCTTTTACCTTGCTCTGTTCTTCAGGAATGTGTAGTTATTCTTGGCTCTTTGCTACTTCATATACAATTAAGCATGTCAGGTTCCATGGGAAACTGTGTTGGGATTGGATCACAATTGCATTTGAATCCTTGGATTGATTTCAGAAGTAATATCATAATGACAGCTCTTACTATACTTGAGTTATTTGGGTCCTCTTAAAATCTTTCCAAAAAGTTTCTTAATTTTTTTCATAAAGGTTTTGATTTTTAGATTAGATTTATTCCTAGGTAACTTGTTGCTATTATAAATGCTTTTTAAAAATGTTTTCTTGAAATATATTTTTATTGATTTCAGAGAGGAAGGGAGAGGGAGAGATAGAAACATCCATGAGAGAGAATCATTGATTGGCTGCCTCCTGCATGCCCCCTGCTGGGGATTGAACCCGCAACCCGGGCATGTGCCCTTGACCGGAATCAAACCCAGGAGCCTTCAATCCGAAGGCCAGTGCTCTATCCACTGAGCCAAATCGGCTGGGGCTATAAATGGTATTTTTAAATTAAAGATTTTTAACTATTTTTGCTGGTATATAGAAATGCATTTGACTTTTTTCTGGCCATCCTGCTAAAGTCATTTCTTGTAATTTTCTATAAGATCAATTTTCTATTCATATGTGAATAATTTGGTTTTTTTTTTTTACAGTTCTTACACATTTTATTTTTCTTGCTTTTCCCCAGGTTAGAACTTCCAGTACCATTTTGAATAGAAATGGTGTTTCAGTTAAGATGGGATGTGACTGCCTAAGTAAAAGTGTCTTAAATATACAAAGGCTGCCCTGGCCAGGTAGCTCAGTTGATTAGAGCATTGTCCCAATACGCCAAGGTTGTGGGTTCTATTCCTGATCAAGGCCCATATAAGAAGCAACCAATGAATGCATAAATAAGTGAGAAAGTAATCTCTCTCTCTCTCTCTCTCTCTGTCTCTCTCTCTCTCTCTCTCTCATTCAGTATCTGGTATCTGGTATCTGGTTCCATCCTTAAGGTCGCCTCAAAGGCTAGGGGCTAGGATAGATGCAGGGGCATCAACCATCTACTTCCCATTCAGACAGCAGAGAAGTAGTCAGGCAAAAGGATGTGCCTTCATGGGGCTCAACTCCCTTTAAGGAGCCTTCCTGGAAGTTCTTTACAACTTGGAGTTCTGATTATAAGGTTAAGGACTTTCCTATCTATTCCCTGTTTGATAAGCGTTTTAATTGAGTGATTATGATATTTGATCAATTTTTTTGCCTTAATTGAGATTATTAAAATGAATACATTTTCCAATATTGAACCATGCTCACATTTCTGGAAGAAACACAACTTGGTTTTGATATATTCTTTTAGTATATATTGGGTTTGATATTTTTTTGTTTAGGATTTTTGCATCATAAAAATTCATGAGGGAGATTAGCCTATAATTTTTTCCCCCTGTGTAGTCCTTGTCAGATTCTGGTTGTTAGGGTTGTGCTAGTCTCATGACATGAGTTGCGGAGTCTTTCCTCTGTTCTCTTGGATTCTGTGTAAAATTGAATTGGTCTCGCTTGTCAACTGTTTGGTAGAACTCACCTGTAAAACATTCTGCATCTGTTATATGTTTTATTGTGTTTTGCTTTATTGCCCTTCACAGATGTTGCATTTTTATAAACTGAAGGCAAGATTCTCCACCAGCAAAAAGATTATGACTTACTGTATTGTGATGCTTGCTTTATTGCGGTGGTCTGGAACCGAAACGCAGTGTCTCGAGGTATGCCTGTGGTTCCCTGAACCTACTGCTTCAGGCATGTCCCACAAGTTTTCATAAGTAGATGTTCATCATTAGGTTGTAAATATTTTCTAGTTTCCAACCTATTTCTCCTTTGACTCATGGTTTTTGTTTCCAAATGAATTGGTTTTATTTATTGACGTTATTTGTTTTGTTATTAATTTCTGAGGTAATTGCATTATCTTTCAAAGTCTATGTGACTTGCTTTAAGGCTTATCAAGTACATGGGCAATTTTTGTAAATATTTCATGTGTGCTTGGAAAAAATTGCATTTTTCAGTTGTTGTAATCAAGCTTGTAAATTGCATTGTTCAACTATTTCTATGTTATTACCTTTTGTCTGATTAATATCTCAATTGAGATAATTGTGCTAAGTATCCAACAGATACTTAGCAATTGGCAGTTTTTCCTTGAATTTCTGATGACTTGTACTATGTATTTTTGAAGATTTGTTATTCGGTTCATACAAGATTAGGATTGTGAAGTAAATGGTTAAATGAAGTGAGCATCTCAGATCATGCTTTTTGCCTTAAAGTTAATTTTCTCAGCTACTACCATAGACACACCAGCTTTCTTTTGGTTAGAATTTGTTCATTGTATTTTTTTCCATCTTGTACTTCGCCTAAGGGCTTGGATTGCTCATTTCCTCATCTCTGTGGTGTTTATCAGGGCTGACTTGGCAGGTCTTAACTCAAGGGAAGAACAGACACCTTTGTAACTGCGAGGCTTCCATTATAACAGAACTGCCCAGATGTGTGGAGGCTGGATTCCTCTCTGTGGGAGCACTAGAGTTTAGTGGATGATGAGTGCTTTGTACTTCTCTGCTTGTTAGGTTTCCTCGATAAACCTTATTTGATATATATTCTCTGTGGTATTTGTGTCTGGGTACAAACATGGCTACTGAGAGTTTCCGGTGGGGGTTGCAGTCACCCA